ACAAGAGATTAGTGCAGAAGCTGGAGGATCAGGCACACGTAAAAGGAAGGGCACTGCAATGGATAAGGGAATACCTGACAGGGAGGCAGCAACGAGTCATGGTACGTGAAGAGGTATCACAGTGGGCGCCTGTTACGAGCGGGGTCCCACAGGGGTCAGTTCTAGGACCAGTGCTATTTTTGATATATGTGAACGACATGATGGAAGGAATAGACTCTGAAGTGTCCCTGTTCGCAGATGACGTGAAGCTGATGAGAAGAATTAAATCGGACAGGATGAGGCAGGACTGCAAAGAGACCTGGAGAGGCTGGACATGTGGTCCAGTAACTGGCTTCTCGAATTCAATCCAGCCAAATGCAAAGTCATGAAGATTGGGGAGGGCAAAGAAGACCGCAGACAGAGTAATAGGCTAGGTGGACAAAGACTACAGACCTCACTCAGGGAGAAAGACCTTGGGGTGACCATAACACCGAGCACATCACCGGAGGCACACATCAACCAAATAACCGCTGCAGCATACGGGCGCCTGGCAAACCTGAGAATAGCGTTCCGATACCTTAATAAGGAATCGTTCAAGACACTGTACACTGTGTATGTTAGGCCCATACTGGAGTATGCAGCACCAGTCTGGAACCCACACCTGGTCAAGCACGTCAAGAAGTTAGAGAAAGTACAAAGGTTGCAACAAGGCTAGTCCCAGAGCTCAAGGGAATGTCGTACGAGGAAAGGTAAAGGGAAATCGGACTGACGACACTGGAGGACAGAAGGGTCAGGGGAGACATGATAACGACATACAAGATACTGGGGGGAATAGACAAGGTGGACAGAGATAGGATGTTCCAGAGAGGGGACACAGGGACAAGGGGTCACAACTGGAAGCTGAAGACTCAGACGAGTCACAGGGACGTTAGGAAGTATTTCTTCAGTCATAGAGTTGTCAGCAAGTGGAATAGCCTAGCAAGTGAAGTAGTGGAGGCAGGAACCATACATAGTTTTAAGAAGAGGTATGACAAAGTTCAGGAAGCAGAGAGAGAGAGGATCCAGTAGCGATCAGTGAAGAGGCGGGGCCAGGAGCTGAGTCTCGACCCCTGCAACCACAATTAGGTGAGTACAATTAGGTGAGTACACACACCAACACCAACCTGGGCACTTCCACACACACACAAATGCCATCTGGGGCACTTCCCCACACACACCTGCCAGGGCACTTTCCCACACACCAGCCAGGGCACTTCCCCACACACACCTGACAACTCTACCCCTGTTGTGAAATCTATTGTAGCTTTGGGGAAGTCCATGGGGTTGGATCTGAGTGGCCAGGATGTGGAAGAGTTGATGGACAACCACAGTGAAGAGCTAACCACTGGAGAGCTGCAAGACCTTCATCTGGGACAGCAACAGACCACAGCTGTAGAAATTGCTTCAGAGGAAGAGGAAGAGAGAGGGAAGAAGGTGCCTTCTTCAGTGATTAAGGACATTTTTGCAAAGTGGAATGAGTTGCCAAGTTTTGTGGAGAAATGCCACCCTAACTAAGCTGTTGCAGGCTGTGTCTGTAACATGTTCAATGAAAATGCCTTGTCCCATTATAGGCTAATCTTAGAGATGCCAGAAACAGAGTTCTCTGGAAAAAAATTGTGTGACAGGGGTCCAGTCACTCTCAAGCTGGTCCTCGTGCCAGTAAAAGACAAAGAAGGGAAGCAACCCCATTAAGGACTTGGTACCTGAAGTCTTTAGGGAAGGGGATTCCCCTTCCAAACAATAATCAGTCCTCCCTCTCCCTCCTCCCTGTATTTCATACACCAACAAGACTCTTTAATAAAGTGTGATGTTATTATTGCTTTATATTGATTTGTCATTTTTTTTTGTATGTAAATCTATATGTAATCTCTAAAAAAAATTATTTTTTGTTAATACTTTTGGGTGGCTGGAACCGATTAATTACATTAACATTATTTCTTGTGGGGAAAATGGTTTTGGTTTTCGTGAATTTTGGTTTTTGGCAGAGTCTTCGGAACGGATTAATCATGAAAACCAAGGGTCCACTGTGTTTCAGATAAATTTTGTAAGGAGTCAAATGAGGCCTGGGAAATTTGGTTCGCTACAGTTTTTAATGTAATAATGTACAATAGGGGAAATACTTAGCTTGTAATTCCCTTGATGTTATGTACATGTGTGTATACTTATCAATTAAATGTGTGTACTCACCTTATTGGTGAGTATGCACAATGTAATTATGGTACTGTAAAATAATTATGACATGTTAGAGTGTGAGCAAGGTAACTTTCATGAAGGGACTCGGGGAAATCATTTAGCTGGACTTGAGTCCTGGAGGTGGGAAGTAGTGCCTGCACTCTGAAGGATAGGTGGGGACATGTTGCAGTTTTTGAAGTGTATTATTGTCATGCCTCTGGCAAGATAGTGATGAAGTAAGTGTTGATGAAAGTGTTTCTTCCTTTTTGAGTCACCTTGCATCAGTGGGAAGCAGCTTGTGTGTTAAATGGAAAAATGTAGCAGGTTGAATTAGCTTGAGCCAGACTGAGGCCTATTATTGTGTGGTCTGTATGGGTTTAATACTCGTTTTCCATATTATAATAATTTTTTTATTAACATACCGGCCATTTCTCACCAAGGCAGGGTGACCCCCAAAAAAGAAAGCACTTTATTTATTTATTTATTTTATTTATTTATTTATTTATTTGTCTTTGCAAATAGTACATTGAGATTGTATTTACAATAATGAATTGCAATGCAAAGAGAGCCTCTATTATGCCTAGGCATTATGGGCCGACTTAACATTATTGGCTTACTGACTACTTAACACTAAGACTTGTATCATAGTTGTACAGTAGAATATTAATTATATCATTGTTGTACAGTAGATTATTAATTATAAGTGAATCTTATTTATATAAGACAAAAGATAATTTATATCCTAAAATGCTTTTTGTGAAAACATTCAATTATATTCCTGTCAACAGTGGATAAAAGGTTCAAAGTAATTGTTGAAATTATGATATGGGAATACATAATTGAGTACATATGTGAGTACTGAGTACCATTTGGCATTTAGACTAGGGTGATTAAGTGGCTTTTGAGGAGAGTCTTAAATTGATTTTCAGACTGGGTTACTTTAATATCTTCTGGTAATGAATTCCATATTTTGGGGCCCTTTATATGCATAGAGTTTTTACACAGTGTAATATGGACACGAGGTACATCAAAAAGAGATCTGTGTCTTGTGTTGTGGTCATGTGTCCTGTTGAGGTTGGTGAGAAGTTTGAGTGGAGGGTTTATATTTGCTTGTATTGTTCTGTGTATGTAGTAGGCACATGAATGAGTATGGATGTTCTTAATGGTGAGCAGATTTAGACTTTTGAAAATTGGTGGAGTATGCTGGCAGGAGTGGGAATTTATCATTCTGACTGCTGCCTTTTGCTGGGTTATTAAAGGTCTTAGGTGATTGCATGTTGTTGATCCCCATGCACAAATTCCATATGTGAGATAAGGGTATATGAGTGAATGGTAAAGTGCCAGGAGAGCTGATTGTGGAACGTAGTACCATATCTTTGATAGTATGCCTACAATCTTTAAGATTTTCTTAGTGATTTGTTGTATATGTGTCTGGAACTTAAGGCTACTGTCAAGGTGGATGTCTAGGAATTTTCCCTCTAAGTCTTGTGACTGGTGATCCATTTGGCGTTATGTTAAGGGTTAAGTGGATCATTTGCAGCTTTGTTTCCAAACTGAATGAAGTAGGTTTTATCATCACTCACTCCATCACTGTCTTGCCAGAGGCATATTGACACTACAGTTAAAGAACTGCAACATATCCCCACCCATCCTTCAGAGTGCAGGTACTGTACTTCTCACTTCCAGGACTTGAGTCCAGCTATTTATGCTTAAGTCAGAGGGTTCATATTTAAATAGAAGGTAATATCAAATCATCATTGAAAGTAGGCTTCCTTGTCATGTTCAAGGGCTTTGATGCAAGGAATTAGAGCTAAACCATGTGGGATTGTTCAGTGCAAGGTGTGGCCCTATCTTCACATGGGCAACTGTGGCCTGGTCAATGATTAGTCAGACCATTTCCTTGAATCATGCCTGAAAGATTTCCATTCTCCCCAGGATTGCATGATTCCTGTGGGTTTAGCAATTTCCCCTTTCCAATTAATGTAATAATAATCAAGCCATTGGTAATCTAGATATTTTTTACAGCCGCTCCTCGCTTAGCGACATACTTGTTCACAGATGCCTTGGACTTACGATGGGCTGTCTGACCAGTGTGCAAACCTAAATAATGTATATTAGAGCTGTAATAATGACTCACGAAACCGTAATGACACGATTGCAAACAAATCATACCACAGGCGGGGATAGAACCCGTGATCAGAGTCTCTCAAAACTCCAGACCGTCACGTTAGCCACTGGACCAGCTAGCCACAGTCTTATTGTGGCTAGCTGGTCCAGTGGCTAACGTGACGGTCTAGAGTTTTGAGACTCTCTGATTGTGGGCTCTATCCCTGCCCGTGGTATGGTTTGAGCTGTAATAATGTTGGTAGAATTACTGACAATATGTAAAATAAAAGGACACAAGTGCAACTAATGTGACATTTTTATTGTGGCAATGTTTCTCTCTCCAGGAGCTCCTGGAGAGCGAAATGTTGCCTCAATAAAAATGTCACATTAGTTGCACTTGTGTCCTTTTACTTTATACATTAGAGCTGATTTCCTCTATTCTGTTGATTACAGTACAGTATGCAGTACACTACTATATAAACATTTAAGAATATACTAAAAAATGTTATAAATGGTGCAAAGGTGACATTAAAACAATACCAAATATGATTGACACAAACCCACTACCATTATAGTATGCTCCTCACTTAGCGACAAATTTGTTTACCGATGTGGTCTTAGGAACGGAACTCTGTCGTTAAATGAGGAGAGGCCGTATTCTGAATCTAATTTTCTGATACTGAATCCAATTTTGTAATGTCCAGCATGGAGCAGAGGATGATGGAGGGTGGAGTGGTGGCCAGTGTCCCACCTGTAGCACCACCTACAGTTAAGCTGAAGTGGGCAGAGCATCTCACCACCTCGTGGCTTGCTGAAGACTGCCAGGCCATAGCATTGAGGGACTCCACACTTGTTCTCTATGACAGACTGCTGGAAAACAAGGTAAAGATGGCTATGAAATGAATTATGGTGAATGTTTCCTTCTTGCCTTACCACTGTGGGACTCCACACTTGTTTTCTATGACAGACTGCTGGAAAATTAGGTATGTAATAATGAGTCTGAAATGCACAATAGTTAATGTGTTGCCTTCCTGTCTTGCCTATATATAATAATAATATAATATCTTTATTTAATATGAGTACATGTACATGGTATACAGGCCTAGCTGACATCAATGACATGCTACTATATAAAAAGCCACTTGTTATGCAGAGCATTTTGGGCAAATTTGGTCAGTTTTGTCCCAGGACACAACCCACACCAGTTGACTAATTCCCAGGTACCCATTTTACTGATGGGGAACATAGACAACCGGTGTAAATAAACATGCCCAATGTTTCTACCCTCACTGGGAATCGAACCCAGACACTCGCCGTGTGAAGCGAGAGCTTGAGCCACAAGACCACAGGGCACTTTGTTTGACGTTCTATTTTGCGCCACCCTCTCTAAATGTCCAAACCTCGTGCCTCCTAGTATCCAAACTATGTATTCTCTGCATAATGTTCGCACCACACTTTACCCTCAGACAACATTTTTACTGCCTCCAGTCTCCTCCTTGTTGTAATGTTTAAAACCAGTGCTTCACACCCATATAAGAGTAGACTGAATTAGGCATTTTTATTATTGAATCATTGGTGCTTCTTTCTGGCCTTGGTTTGATTATAAAGTTAGCTCACATTATTTTTTCAAAGATTTTAGAGAGTAAATACAAGTTTGAAATCAGCCTGTGTAAGTATTGATTTTTTGGGGTCACCTCTTTGTAGTGGTGTAACTCTTGCTCATTGAAGTATATTAGGAAAAGTCTTGACTTCATTTGATTCATTGCAGAATGCTGTAATAATCGTATTGGCATGCTTCTGGCAAGACAGCGATGGAGTGAGTAATGATGAAAGTGTTTCTTCTTTTTCAGTTCACCCTGCCTCAGTGGGAAACAGCTGATGTTTAAAAAAAATGAGAAGCTTTCTTATAAATTAGTGTAATAGTATATATCTTGCATGACAGGTCAGGCTCCAGGCTGCTGCTGTAAAGCAAAAATCGCCGAAGTGAAAAGCGGCCTTTTTTCACTCAAATGCATATAAAAAGGGTGATAACATGTTAACACTTATTGTATATTAAGTACTCATCAGCCAGATGAATTTGGTTTTTAAATGTGTTGATGTGCAGGAGGTGGTGGTGGTGGCTGGCCCTGGATGTGTGATGCGTGGGGGGCCACAATTGCCAGACTATGAACCAGAACCTCCCTCGCCAGCAGACCAGCTCAGCCACGTCAATGCTCTGTTGGCATCACAAGCTGCTCTCGCTCGGTAGGTTGATGGTTTTCCTTGCTTTATATCTAGAACAAATAGCAGTTTAGTTAGTTACATGTTTTCCCTGCTTTACATCCACAAAAAAAAGCAGTTTTATTAGATTTTATTTTTTGCTTTAAACAAACAGGATATTTATTTCCACTAGATACAATACAGTTTTAAAAATTGGTTAACATTTGACTATACCCATAGAAAGCCCCTGAGTGTACATAGCATTTCAGGCAAGTATAAACTGCAGTTTAGTTGTTTTTATAACTGCAGTTTCAATATTTTTACATGCAAAGTACCCTTCAAGGGAGGTGCTTTAAAGTTGGTGAATGGTTTTTGATTCAAGGAGCTGGAGCTACCTTCTTCTTCTTCCTTGGATTAAACCTGATTGCCTCCCAATCCCCAGGTGCTGTAGAACCCTCCTGAGTTTAGTGCTTCCTTATGAATTTAATAATAATGATAATAATAATATACATTATACAAAAGCAAGACTTGCCAATGCAGAATTTTTGGCATGCTGTATTTTTATATACAATCCAGCTCCATATATTTCACTACAAAGTAGAATAACAGATTAACTAAGGTTTTACATTAAAAATGTTGTTTTTTAACGCTTCGGCTCTCTCCCGCCGAGGCAGGATGACCTAAAAGGAAAAAATATTTCTTTTTTTTACATTTTGTAATTTTTCTCCATTGGGACGTGGAACAGAATTCTTCCTCCGTAAGCCGTGCGTGTCGTAAGAGGCGACTAAAATGCTGGGACCAAGGGGCTAGTAACCCCTTCTCCTGTACATTTGATTAAATTTAAAACGAGAGACTTTCATTTTCCTTTTGGGCCACCCTGCCTCGGTGGTATACAGCCAGTTTGTTTAAAGATGATGATTTAGTAATTTATCCAGAAGGGGGTTACTAGCCCCTTGCTTCTGGCATTTTAGTTGCTTCTTAAGACTTGCATGGCTTATGGGAGAAGGATTCTTTTCCACTCCCCTGTGGAGTTCATTTGTAAATACAGTACACATTTATGTGAATGTAAGCTTAGTATAGTGATCAGAGTGTTTGGCTTACAATTGAAAGCCCTGGGTTCAACTCCTGGGCAGGTAGTCATTATAGAGGAGCTGCCTTAACCTCACTGACACTGTTCACCTAACTATGACTAGGCACACTAAATCAGGGGTCCCCAGCCTGTGGCCCAAGGGCTGCATGTGGCACTTCTAGGAAATGGAGCTCAAAGTAGGGGAAATGTTTGATTTTTGCCGATGTTCAAAAGTAAACTAATGACATCATTGTCCAATAAATGTCCAACTAGCCATTCTAATATGCAGTCGTGAATGGGTTGATGTTATTTATACAATTATTGCAGTATTGCAGTAGTCTGCATAATAGTAAATTTTCTATTTTTTGTTTGAATAAAAATTCAAAATAGAAAGCAAGAGTAATATCAGAGGGGCCTGGAGACATGACTGATGAACAAAGAAAATGTTATTTTAGAGCCAGGAATGTCTGCATTGTTCATTCTGGACCTTATTTTGAAATTGTCATATTTTTTAATTTTCGTGAAATTGGCCAAATTGCAAATTTCTGACCACATTATTGGGTAGTTGAAATTGGTAAATGGGCAGTTTCTTGTACTCAATCGATAGAAAAAATGGAGTTCTAAACAAATAGCTATGAGTTTGGTCGACTGAAACAAAGGAATTAGTAGAAAATAGGGCTCAAAGTGGGCAAAATCGCTGATTTGTGAATGTCGCTAAGGTCGCTAACTTTGCGAGAGCGTAATTCCGTCAGTTTTCCATCAAATTTCGTTATTTTTGGTGTCATTACAATCGAGAAAAGATTCTCTAACATTTCATAAGAAAAAATAATTTTTTTTTTTTTAAATTTTGCGACACCAGGAGACACCTCAGGATTGGGGGTTGCGACAGTCAAGGGGTTAAATTAGCCTGTTCATACTAAAAGGTTGGGGACTATTGCACTAAATCCTTGATATGAGGTGCCTCAATTTAAGACATCAGGAATGCAGGACAAAATTCACTGGGCCATTTGATTCGGAAACAGCAAAATCTGTTGGTTATATAATTTTTTGTAATTAAGATGATGGCAAAATGATCTCGTCTCTATCCACCAGTCACCAGTACCGACTCCCTCTCTCCCTTTCCCCGTTAGCCCATCAAATCGAGGTTTACTATTGTGGGTCACATCCTGGGGACTGGGATGTACGCCATTCAAAAGAAAATTGCAAGTGCACTTTATTATTTTGATAATGTAAAAAGTGAAAGAAAGTGGTGCCCAAATATGTGCTTCATTTTCATGGCATTTGCTGTATGGCCCCTTTGGGTTTAGTGCTCCATAATCCTCGCCCACCTTTCAAATGTGAATCATTTAGTTTGTCTCTAAAATCAGTCATTGAGTTTACTTTCAAATTGTTAATGATATAACTTTCAATTAATCTTTGAAATATTATTTAATCATTTTAGAAAATGGACATGGTGCAGTGCCGTTGGTAAATTTTCTCGGTATAATTTTTCTTGCTGTTCAAAATAGAGGGCGTGCAAATTCTTATCTTGATTTTTTTCTCATTTGCAATTAAATAAAAATTTGGAGATTTTTTTTTTTTAAGACTTTGGAGCAAACTTGACCAAGTTGATTTTTTCGTTATAATTTTTGTGCTATTATCATCAGGTTGTGTGGAAATCTAGAAATGTATAGTAAAGTAATAGTCCTGAGGCAGAATTTGCTTGAAAAATTGAGTGAGTGGTTTAAATTTTGTGACAAAAGAAGTAAGTTGATAATGGATCAGCATGTGCAGAAATATCATCTAAATTGTGGGTCAGTTGTGAATTATTGCAGTAATGATACTTTGCCAGATCAGCCAGGCTAAGATGGATATGTGGGGCTGCAGGCCACCACAGAAACAGCCTGGTTCACCAGGTTAGCACCAGACGAGCCTAGCCCATGGCCGGGCTCCGGGAGTAGGAAAAGCTCTCTAAACTAAAGGTAAAAGTAAGTGTGATTTTTTTATTAGTGTTATTTCATTTATATATTATTTTTCCAGGTCCACTGCTGCTCAGCCACGGTTCTCAGCATTATTACACAAAAGATTGATTGTGCTTCAGAGGATATACCATGCGTTGTCACGCAGCTTCCATCAGGGTGCGAGAGAGAGAGACCGGGTAAATAACTTATTATCAAGGTTATAATAATAGTGTTTATAGCAATAATAATCATGCAATTTTAGTTCAAAGCATAATACAAACGCACAGTCAATTGACCTCCACAACATACAAATCTCAGTCGCTGAATCAATTTGAAATATTAATGCATACTTAAAATTGTACTACAGTAGGGTCCCTGTATCCACAGATTCAGTATCTTAGCTTTCAGTTATCCACTGTTTACTTTGGCCCAAATATATCCCTTAATTTTGCTAACTAATGGCTCCAAAGTGCAAAAGTAGAGAAGCTGGCAGTTCTTCAAACCGAAGAGAAGCCATGAATTTCTTCCCATCAGTGAAAAAGTGTTAATTCTAGACTTACTTTTGCATAATTTATCAATTAAACTTTATCATAGGTATGTATGTAAAGGAAAAATAACTTATATGTAGGGTTTGCTACTATCCATGGTAGGTCTTGGAACACATCCCACTTGGATACATGGGGGGACTACTTCAACACACTGGCCGTATCCCACCGAGGCGGGGTGGCCCAAAAAGAAAAACGAAAGTTTCTCCTTTTACATTTAGTAATATATACAGGAGAAGAGGTTACTAGCCCCTTGCTCCCAGCATTTTAGTCGCCTCTTACAACACGCATGGCTTACGGAGGAAGACTTCTGTTCCACTTCCCCATGGAGATTAAGAGAAAATAAACAAGAATAAAAAATTGAAAGAAAATAGAAGAAAACCCAGAGTGGTGTGTATATACAGTGGACCCCCGGTTAACGATATTTTTTCACTCCAGAAGTATGTTCAGGTGCCAGTACTGACCGAATTTGTTCCCATAAAAAATATTGTGAAGTAGATTAGTCCATTTCAGACCCCCAAACATACACGTACAAACGCACTTGCATAAATACACTTACATTATTGGTCACATTCGGAGGTAATCATTATGCGGGGGTCCACTGTACATGCTTGTACATGTACGTGTAGTGTGACCTAAGTGTAAGTAGAAGTAGCAAGATGTACCTGAAATCTTGCATGTTTATGAGACAGAAAAAAGACACCAGCAATCCTACCGTCATGTAAAACAGTCACAGGTTTTCGTTGTACACTCACTTGGCAGGACGGTAGTACCTCCCTGGGCGGTTGCTGTTTACCAACCTACTACCTAGGAACTCAGTAAACTTATTCCTCTAATTTTTACAATCTCTTTTGTCCCCCTTCCCTTTATATAAAGGGACTATACACGCTCTCCGCCAATCCCTAGGTACCTTCCCCTCTTTCACACATTTATTAAACAAAAATACCAACCACTCCTACACTATGTGACCCCCTGCTTTTAACATTTTTGTCATGATCCCGTCAGTTCCAGCTGCTTTACCCCCTTTCATTCTGCGTAATGCCTCACGCACCTCCCCACACTTGCATCCTGCTCTTCTTCACTCCTAAAACATGGTATACCTCCCTGGCTAGTGCATGAAATTACCGCCTCCCTTTCTTCGTCGACATTTAAAAGTTCCTCATAATATTCTTGTCATCTACCCAATACCTCCATCTCCCCATCTACTAACTCTCCTACTGTTTTTAACTGACAAATCCATTCGTTCCCTAGGCTTTCTTAACTTGTTTAACTCGCTGCAAAATTTTTTCTTATTTTCATTAAAATTTCTTGACAGTGCCTCTCCCACTCTATCATCTGCTCTCTTATTGCACTCTCTCGCCACTCTCTTCACCTCTCTTTTACTCTCCATATACTCTAATGTGCGAGTGTGGTGAAAGTATTGAATGATGATGAAAGTATTTTCTTTTTGGGGATTTTCTTTCTTTTTTTGGGTCACCCTGCCTCGGTGGGAGACGGCCGACTTGTTGGAAAAAAAAAAAAAAAAAAAAAAAAATACTCTACTCTTCTTATAACACTTCTGCTTTGTAAAAACCTCTCATAAGCCACCTTTTTCTCTTTTATCACACCCTTGACTTCATCATTCTACCAATCACTCCTGCAGTAATACTCTCCATGCTGCTTTCCATACTTCAGTTTTTTTCTTTTTTTCGGAATCCTGATGCGGGTGAAGGGGGTCTTGACCCAGGAAAGTGGAGCTTCCTTCCTTTTGGTTAAACCTGATTAACTCTTATACTTGAGATGGTTTAGGACTCTTGTGGGTTTAGCACTTCACAGTGGATGTAATATAATAATGATCAGTAATATCAAGTATTATTGTAGCCTTTGTATTTTGTAATATTTTTTTCACATAAGTACAGTGTTTCTTTATTGGGTTGCCACATCCTCTCCCTGTCTGTCTCTGTCTTTCTCTTCCCAAAACTTTTACCTCCCTTTCTTTCACTATTGAGCATCCTCTTCTCTACCTCACTTCCACTTCATTGACCTCTTTTCTCCCTCATGTCCACAGTTAATAACTTCTTCCTTCCTTCACTTCCCCAGCCTCACCCTTCCTTTAACTTAACATTTATTTAATGTAATTACATTACGACTGGACAAAATGTAATAACCGTGTGCTCCTACTGTGTGTAGGCTCTTACTGGGACCAGTGAACGTGGACCATCAACTGACATTCAGGGTGGAGGAGTTTCTCTCTCGGCAAATGAAGCTCTGGTGGAGCTGGGAGTACACACGGGCTTGTCTCTCCTCTTCTCCATCCTCAGGCTTGGCTGGATGAATAATAGTGAGTCTCAGGCTATAATATGTTAAAGGAAGTGTTTCAAATGTGTGGAGAATAATAATGGATTCACTTCAATTGAATTTTTTTAACACTGCCACTGTTACACCCTTTTGTTCATTTTAAGTAGACTGTTTCTACTTGTTATCACAATGGTATACTTTTACATGTTATTTTTGCTATTTCACTTAATATTATATTCAGGAGTAATTCCATTAGTAGCTAAAATGGATTTACTCGACTTTATAATATTATCTAGTCGTATTACTTAGCTTTGAATATAGGTAGGTTGTTTAATTAGTGTCAACTGCTGGTGTGACCTGGCCAAGCACCAGCAGGTGTTTTGAGCTGCTCAACCTCTGCTCCGACCGAGACAAAGTGGGCTGGTAAAGCCTCACTGAGTTCAGTTCATACCTTCCTCTGGACCAGGAAGGGTCTAGGGGAGTATCCACCTCTAAAACCACCATTCGCCTCCCTAGAAAATCCCAGAAATTTTCGGGAACTCATTGCTAAGACTTATCTCGGTTGGAGAAGGCAGTTAAGAAGCTCTTAGAGAAAGTGAAGCCAAGTGAGCAAGCCTCTGTAGTGTAAGAGGGCTTATTGTAAAGTGAACCCTATTATAGGAAATCTATTAATGTGTTCGAGTTTTTAGGCAACGCCTGTGCATGTACATATACTAATATTTCGTGGCTCACTCAGAGCCATTTGTAAATACTTGACCTAGTACTGTGATGTTTTAATGAGAAATGGTAAAAGTATTCTACTCATAGTGCAAAATATGAGAAGGTGGATTTAAGTGATTATTATGATAATTAATAAATTAAATAGAAACTAAGAAAATTCCTTTTCCTCTGAGTGAAGACCCCTAGACGTACTAAGTTTATTTTGTTACGAAAAGCACTATAACCCAGGGACCAACTGACTATGTTCGTAACAGCCACTTACTATCAAGGCAAGGCGACTCCAAGAAGGCAAACAATTCAACTATCACATTCTGTAGCTCTCTTCAGAAATGCCATCACATCACAATTCAAATGATACATTGAATCACACTTGCATACACCATACAGTAAATCTTAACCCTTTGACTGTTTCAGGCCCTTCTCTGAAACTGTCATTCTATGTCGCCAAATATTAAAAAAAAAAAAAATTATTTTTTCTTATGTAAATGTTAAGATTATTTTTCTGAGTGTTTTAGTCCAAAAAAAAAATTTTTTGCCATCGGTACTTACCGAGATATAGAGCCGTGAAGTTTGCAGAAAATGAGCCGCGTATGGCAACAGCGGCGACTGCCGCTCACCCGGTAAACTTTAGTTTACTTGTAATTGAAGGTTTTTTGTTTTTTTTCACTATTTTATTTTTTCACATATGTGGCCTATGAGACCAAAGTAAGGTGCAATGTACATATATACACTCGTTGTATACAACACAATAAGCACACAAACATAATTATCATTATATTATTTACAAAACTTGTTTACAAAAACAAACAAACAATCATCCTCCTCCTCCTCCTTCTCCTCCTCCTCCTTCTCCTCCTTCTCCTCCTCCTTCTCCTCCTTGTCTTGTGTGTGAGTGTGTGGCTTATAATTGTTTTGAGTCAGAAGTTGGCAGCTGTCAAAGTGACATATTGTCTCATTACTCACTCCCCCTCCCGCCTGTCAAAACAATGGCGTCGGATGCTGCTTCCCCTCCGCCATTCTATCTAATTATCTTTCTCCCTCATTCTATATCTTTCAATCTGTCTCTCTCTCTATCTGTCTGCCTATCTCTGTCTCACAGGTACACATAAATACAAGTATACATAGTGTAAATTACCTAGGATAATTACACAAATAACCCGCACATAAAAGACAGACAGTGTGACTTTGTCAATGGTCCAAGTCGGACCGAAACGTCGTCGTAAGCTTCTGTCTTTTATGTGCGGGTTATTTGTGTATCGTTCCAGTCACGGTATTGTGCCTTTTTGTTATTTACCTAGGATAACCCAAGAAATCCAGACAAAGTGCTATACTCTGCTTGAAGATGTGAGTAAACGTGATGACACAGTCTTGTGGCTCTCTCTGAGACAGAGCTAGATGGACAGACAGGGAGCTTGACAGACAGACAAATAGACAGACAGAAATGTTTGTGTACCAGCAAAAACAAAGGGAGGGCGATGGTCATGTAATATTTCCTTATCAGCTCTACCCTCGTTTACGCTCATCAAAGTCAGCTCTTATCAGATGTTATCTCCCCTTATCTTGTCACTGTCATGGGGTGGACTTTTTTTTTTCTTGCTTCAAGGGAGCAATATTATTACATCTTCTTCTTCCTCCTCCTCCTCTTCCTTCCCTCCTCCTCCTCCTCCTCCTCCTCCTCCTCCTCCTCCTCCTCTTCTTCCTCCCCTCTTCCTCCTCCATTGCTTTTGGTCTCAAACTCCTCCAAATCATGAAATTGATCTTCACTGACACTTCCATCTGTGTTAGAGCATCACTTGGGAAGAGAAGAGTCCCAGATTTGCTGGGGAATCACATATTTCTTACCGCTAGACATGCTGAAAAAGGAGAACTGAAATGGCATTCCCACAATGCACCACTGGCTCCCCGATTTTTTTTATATGGTGCACACTGACCATGGAGACCCATTCTCTCACATGTGGGCCTACCAGCTTTCTCCTGCTTGATTTGAAGCTGCTAGAATTTATGCGTATAAATACGTCAGAAACATTGGCTCGTAAGACGTATTTATACGTCGGAAACAGTCAAAGGGTTAAATTAGTCATGCATGGCTACTTTATTAACCCGTAAATGGTCCAAACGTATATATACGTTTTTCAACATTTGAATGTAAAAAATGTAGATCTTTTGTTTTTTTTACATTTGAAAATGTGTAAAAAAACTTTGATCTACTTTTTTTTTTTTTTTTTTTGTTATATTTCTACTTACACTTAGGTCACACTACAAATACATGTACACATTTATTTATACACACTCATCAGAGTTTTCTTTGATTTTATCTTAATAGTTCTTGGTCTTATTAATTTTCCTTTTATATCCATGGGGAAGTGGAATAAGAATCTTTCCTCCGTAAGCCATGCGTGTTGTAAAAGTCAACTAAAATGCCGGGAACAATGGGCTAGTAACCCCTTTTCCTGTAAAGATTACTAAAAAGAATAAGAAGAAGAAAATTGTCAAAGTGGGAAGTCTGAATGTGCGTGGATGTTGTGCAGATGATAAGAAAGAGATGATTGTGGATGTTATGTATGAGAAGAAGCTGGATGTCCTGGCTTTAAGTGAAACAAAGCTGAAGGGGGTGGGAGAGTTTCAGTGGAGAGGAATAAATGGGATTAGGTCAGGGGTTTCAAATAGAGTTAGAGCTAAAGAAGGAGTAGCAATAGTGTTGAAGGATAAGCTATGGCAGGAAAAGAGGGACTATAAATGTATTAATTCAAGGATTATGTGGAGTAAAATAAAGATTGGATGTGAAAAGTGGGTTATAATAAGCGTGTATGCACCTGGAGAAGAGAGAAGTGTAGAGGAGAGAGAGAGATTTTGGGAAATGTTGAGTGAATGCGTGGGGAGTTTTGAATCAAGTGTGAGAGTAATGGTGGTTGGGGATTTCAATGCTAAGTGGTAAAAATGTTATGGAAGGAGTAGTAGGTAAATTTGGGGTGCCAGGGGTAAATGTAAATGGGGAGCCTTTGAGCTATGTGTAGAAAGAAATTTGGTAATAAGTAATACATATTTTATGAAAAAGAGGATAAATAAATATACAAGGTATGATGTAGCACGTAATGAAAGTAGTTTATTAGATTATGTATTGGTGGATAAAAGGTTGATGGGTAGGCTCCAGGATGTACATGTTTATAGAGGGGCAACTGATATATCGGATCATTATTTAGTTGTAGCTACAGTTAGAGTAAGAGGTAGATGGGAAAAGAGGAAGGTGGCAACAATAAGTAAGAGGGAGGTGAAAGTGTATAAACTAAGGGAGGAGGAAGTTCGGGTGAGATATAAGCGACTATTGGCAGAAAGGTGGGCTAGTGCAAAGATGAGTAGTGGGGGGTTGAAGAGGGTTGGAATAGTTTTAAAAATGCAGTATTAGAATGTGGGGCAGAAGTTTGTGGGTATAGGAGGGTGGGGGCAGGAGGAAAGAGGAGTGATTGGTGGAATGATGAAGTAAAGGGTGTGATAAAAGAGAAAAAGGTAGCTTATGAGAGGTTTTTACAAAGCAGAAGTGTTATAAGAAGAGCAGAGTATATGGAGAGTAAAAGAAAGGTAAAGAGAGTGGTGAGAGAGTGCAAAAGGAGAGCAGATGATAGAGTGGGAGAGGCACTGTCAAGAAATTTTAATGAAAATAAGAAAAAATTTTGGAGTGAGCTAAACAAGTTAAGAAAGCCTAGGGAAAATATGGATTTGTCAGTTAAAAACAGAGTAGGGGAGTTAGTAGATGGGGAGATGGAGGTATTGGGTAGATGGCGAGAATATTTTGAGGAACTTTTAAATGTTAAGGAAGAAACAGAGGCAGTAATTTCATGCACTGGTCAGGGAGGTATACCATCTTTTAGGAGTGAAGAAGAGCAGAATGTAAGTGTGGGTGAGGTACGTGAGGCATTACGTAAAATGAAAGGGGGTAAAGCAGCTGGAACTGATGGGATCATGACAGAAATGTTAAAAGCAGGGGGGATAGTGTTGGAGTGGTTGGTACTTTTGTTTAATAAATGTATGAAAGAGGGGAAGGTACCTAGGGATTGGCAGAGAGCATGTATAGTCCCTTTATATAAAGGGAAAGGGGACAAAAGAGACTGTAAAAATTATAGAGGAATAAGCTTACTGAGTATACCAGGAAAAGTGTACGGTAGGGTTATAATTGAAAGAATTAGAGGTAAGACAGAATGTAGGATTGCGGATGAGCAAGGTTGTTTTAGAGTGGGTAGGGGATGTGTAGATCAGGTGTTTACATTGAAACATATATGTGAACAGTATTTAGATAAAGATAGGGAAGTTTTTATTGCATTTATGGATTTAGAAAAGGCATATGATAGAGTGGATAGAGGAGCAATGTGGCAGATGTTGCAAGTATATGGAATAGGTGGTAAGTTATTAAATGCTGTAAAGAGTTTTTATGAGGATAGTGAGGCTCAGGTTAGGGTGTGTAGAAGAGAGGGAGACTACTTCCCGGTAAAAGTAGGTCTTAGACAGGGATGTGTAATGTCACCATGGTTGTTTAATATATTTATAGATGGGGTTGTAAAGGAAGTAAATGCTAGGGTGTTTGGGAGAGGGTGGGATTAAATTATGGGTATCAAATTCAAAATGGGAATTGACAGTTACTTTTTGCTGATGATACTGTGCTTATGGGAGATTCTAAAGAAAAATTGCAAAGGTTAGTGGATGAGTTTGGGAATGTGTGTAAAGGTAGAAAGTTGAAAGTGAACATAGAAAAGAGTAAGGTGATGAGGGTGTCAAATGATTTAGATAAAGAAAAATTGGATATCAAATTGGGGAGGAGGAGTATGGAAGAAGTGAATGTTTTCAGATACTTGGGAGTTGACGTGTCGGCGGATGGATTTATGAAGGATGAGGTTAATCATAGAATTGATGAGGGAAAAAAGGTGAGTGGTGCGTTGAGGTATATGTGGAGTCAAAAAACGTTATCTATGGAGGCAAAGAAGGGAATGTATGAAAGTATAGTAGTACCAACACTCTTATATGGGTGTGAAGCTTGGGTGGTAAATGCAGCAGCGAGGAGACGGTTGGAGGCAGTGGAGATGTCCTGTTTAAGGGCAATGTGTGGTGTAAATATTATGCAGAAAATTCGGAGTGTGGAAATTAGGAGAAGGTGTGGAGTTAATAAAAGTATTAGTCAGAGGGCAGAAGAGGGGTTGTTGAGGTGGTTTGGTCATTTAGAGAGAATGGATCAAAGTAGAATGACATGGAAAGCATATAAATCTATAGGGGAAGGAAGGCGGGGTAGGGGTCGTCCTCGAAAGGGTTGGAGAGAGGGGGTAAAGGAGGTTTTGTGGGTAAGGGGCTTGGACTTCCAGCAAGCGTGCGTGAGCGTGTTAGATAGGAGTGAGTGGAGACGAATGGTACTTGGGACCTGACGATCTGTTGGAGTGTGAGCAGGGTAATATTTAGTGAAGGGATTCAGGGAAAACGGTTATTTTCATATAGTCGGACTTGAGTCCTGGAAATGGGAAGTACAATGCCTGCACTTTAAAGGAGGGGTTTGGGATATTGGCAGTTTGGAGGGATATGTTGTGTATCTTTATATGTGTATGCTTCTAGACTGTTGTATTCTGAGCACCTCTGCAAAAACAGTGATAATGTGTGAGTGTGGTGAAAGTGTTGAATGATGATGAAAGTATTTTCTTTTTGGGGATTTTCTTTCTTTTTTGGGTCACCCTGCCTCGGTGGGAGACGGCCGACTTGTTAAAAAAAAAAAAAAAAAATTTTGAAAAGATGTAAAAAAACGTAGATCTACTTTTGTAGCACTACACACGTGAATGTAGATCTGCTTGGACCGTTTACGGGTTAAATGCAGGAGATCCCCGTTTGTACAGCTCCTAGCTTCCTGACCCTGGGCAATGAGTGAAAATCTCTGGTGAGTGGAAACGGCTTTCTTTCATAATTGAATGTGTCTAAAATTCCTGATGTGTTTACAGTATTGTACATTAACCCTTTAACTGTCGCAACCCCCAATCCTGAGGTGTCTCCTGGTGTTGCAAAATTAAAAAAAAAAAAAAAAAAATTTTTTTGTGAAATGATAGTCTTTTCCCGATTGTAATGACACCAAAAAAAAACGAAATTTGATGGAAAACTGACGAAATTATGCTCTCGCTAAGTTAGCGACCTCGGCGCTGTTTACAAATTGGCGATTTCGCCCACTTTGAGCCCTATTTTTGGCTAATTCCATTGTTCCAGTCGCTATTTCTTTAGAACTCCATTTTTTCTATCGATCGAGTACAAGAAACTGCCCATTTACCGATTTCAACTACCTAATAATGTGGTCAGAAATTTGCAATTTGGCCAATTTCACGAAAACTAAAAAATATGACAATTTCAAAATAAGGTCCAGAATGAACAAAGCAGACATTCCTGGCTCTAAAATAACATTTTCTTTGTTCATCAGTGATGTCTCCAGGCCCCTCTGATATTACTCTTGGTTTCTATTTTGAATTTTTATTCAAACAAAAAATAGAAGACTTACTATTATGCAGACTACTGCAATACTGTAATAATTGTATAAATAACATCAACCCATTCATGACTGCATATTAGAGTGGCTAGTTGGACATTTATTGGACAATGACATCATTTGTTTACTTTTGAACATCGGCAAAAATCAAACATTTCCCCTACTTTGAGCTCCATTTCTAGGTTCTTTTTATAGTAAAATCAATCAAAATCATCTCTATTTCTATAATATGTTTTCCATTCTATCAAATGAGACCAATAAAACGAGAATACAACCATAAATACTATACGAAAATAGACCACAAAGTCGGCATTTTAATTAAAAAAAACGGTCAGTTTTTTTTTTTCTCATTATGCTCTGCGTGCTCCAGGATTTTTTTTATATGTTGCACACTGAGCACACAGACCCATTCTCTCACATGTGGGCCTACCAGCTTTCTCCTTCTTGATTTAAAGCCGCTAGAATTTACGAGTATATATACATGTCAAACACTGTACCTCGTAAGACGTATATATACGGCCGCCACAGTCAAAGGGTTAAGTGCTCAATACAGCTAGGCATAAAGAGCAGGTAAAGTAAATTAAATACATAGTACATACAATGCTTACCTTAAAATATGGCACCAGTTGCCAACTCCTTTTGTAACTGTTGTACAGAAATGCAGTAAAAGCACCGAACATAATGAAGAATGGCTCAAATGAAAGCCAACAAAAATGTGAAACCCCAAAACGAGGTGCTGAATGTGCAGGGCTCTCCTGAATATTGTCATGAGATGCAAATTTCAGAGTAAATGAAAGCAAATCCCAGTTATATTAATTTGTCTCTAGGAGAACTATTCTATTTACACCTTACAATTTTCAGTGTGAAGTCATCTTGGCTTTCATATACAGTATTCATTTCTTTATTTTTTTTATTAACACGTTGGCCGATTCCCACCAAGGCAGGGTGGTCCGAAAAAGAAAAACTTTCATCGTCATTCACTCTATCACTGTCTTGCCAGAGGCATGCTTACATTAGTTATAAAACTGCAACATTAACACCCCTCCTTCTTTATATAATTTATAAAAACTTTTTTTTTTTTTCTTGTAAGGTGGTGGGAGTTTATGCTCGGAGGTGCTAGGAACTGCTGTGGCTGTGGTACAAGCGCTGCCTCCCTTGTCACTAGCTGTTGAATCAAAATTGCCTCGTGTGGGGCTAGCATCCCTCTCACAGCTGACCACTTTCCTTGGAGAGACTACCAAGCCTTCATCTCCTGCTGACCCAACAGGTGAATTTTATCATATACAGGACACTTCTTACTTACAAGTACATTAAGATACACATATTTGTACATACAATGCTTCAAATTACATCAGTTGCTACAAACACATGAGATACACACTCGGCACCTTTCTTGTTGGAGTGAAGTTCTCCATGGTAATTTTCATTGCAGGTCGTAAACTGAGTGCAGAACTGCTGTTAGGTTTGAGCCTTCAGAGGGGTTCTCTCCGGTACTTACTGGAGTGGGTTCACATGGCACTGAGTGCAGCTACCACAGCTGCGGAAGATTCCAGGGATGGGTAAGTCTCATTTTATTTCACGAGTACAGCTGCTCCTTGACTTATGATGGGGCTGTGTTCTGACGAACCCACTGTAAGTCGAATATGAATATATTATAAGTAAACAAATAATTAACTACTGTCACTGAATACGAAAATTAATTACTGTAACTAAATACCTGTATTGAAGAGTAAATAAATGAATACAAGTTATGGATTTACTGCCATCATGCTGGGTAATTATCCTAAGCTTCATCTCCAGAGTAATTGCTTTCACATCATTGTAAAGTCAAAATATAGTAGGTCGAACCATCGTAGGTTCAGGAGTACTTGTACAAGGAGAAAATGTGTGTGTTTTGGGCATAGCAGGAGGAGGATCAAGCCTTCACCATGTCTTGTGTTGAATGATCCACATAGGTTTAATGCTTAACATGAATTATAAGTACAGGTTGACCATCACTAATTTGTCATCCTCGAGACCTATAGGATGCTGGGTTAGTGATTTTTTACCAGATTACAGAGTAGTTTAGGTTAGAATACACTTAACCCAATGGTGATATTTATGCATCAGTGATTTTGCCCACTTTGCGTCCTATTTTTGGCTCATTCCATTGTTCCAGTCTCACAAACTCGTAACTATTTCACTAGTATTCCTTCTATTCTGTCGATTGAGCACAAGAAACCACCCATTTACCTATTAAAACTACCCAGTAAAATGGTCAGAATTTTGTAATTGGTATCAAGAGATATCAATTTTAAAATTGGTCCAAGTTAAACAGTGCAGACATTCCTGGCACTAAAATAAAATTTTCTCTGTTCATTAGTCATGTCTCCAGGTCCCTCTTATATTATGCTTGTTTTCCATTTTGAATTTTTATTCACACACAAAAATAGAAGATTTACTGTTATGCAGACTACTGCATTATTATAATATGTAATTGTACAAATAATGTCAACCCATTCGTGACCGAGTATTACACTGGCCAGTTGGACACGTATTTGACTGTATTTACTCTTGAATATTAGTAAAAATCGAACATTTCTGCTACTTTGAGCTCAATTTCAAGGTACTTTCCATTGTGAAACTAATCAAAATCATATCTGTTTATGTAATATATTGTCCATTCTATCAAATGAGGCAAAAAAACGAGAATGCTAGCATAAAAATCATACAAAATACACCACAAAGTCACTGTTTTACACCAAAAACAGGGTTGCAGTTTTTTCTAATTTTGCACTTATGTGCTACAGGATTTTTTTTTTTATATATAGTGCACACTTGCCACACACTTATTCTCTCACATATAGGCCCAAATTTACTAGTCACAGGTTATATGAATGAGCCTGAGCTCATGGTGACCGACAGTGGCTTCAAAGCTACCTTATCTTTTATGTACAATATACGTTGCCTGTGCTTTACACAATGAGAAGCATTTTTTTTATTCGTTGGAATGATAGCTAGGGCTAAAAGTGAGTAGGATATAACATTAAATGGAGAAAAACAAATTGGAATGAGGCCTGGTCACAGACCGGGTGGCGGGGGCGTTGATCCCCGGTCAGTGGTCAGTCGTCAGTGGTCAGTCGTCAGTGGTCAGTCATCACGTGAGGTCACAGACTCTGAGCTGCTTTGGGGATTAGTGTGGATGGTTACAAAGCATGGCTTGCTTCTGCAGTGTTTTAAAAATTGAGGTTGGAGAGTTGAAGGAGGAGGTCTTGCTTCTCCAGGAGGAGATTAGGAGGCTGAAGGTCCACCTCAATGGGTCTGGGAGAGAGTGTGAGGTGGCTGGAGTTGTGGGGAATGAGGCTTCAAGTGAGGTGCAGTCTGTCTCTCGCTGTGAGGAGGCTGTAGTTGGGGAGGTAGCAACGGCTACCAGCAGTGAGGTGCAGTCCAGCACCTGCTACAAGTGGCGAGTGGTTCACAGTAATGGAAGGCGCATCAGAGTAAGGAAAGTTAAGAGTGAAGATCTGAAGGTAGGAAATCGCTTCTCTGTTCTTCAGGATGAATGTACTTCAGTGGCCAGTGAAGGTAAGGGTACTACTGCCCCTGCTAATGGAGGTAAGCGCATTCTTGTGGTTGGTGACTCTCAGGTAAGATATATTGACCGTGCTTTTTGTAATAGGAATAAGAAGATGAGAGATAGAGTGTGCTTCCCTGGAGCTGGTGTTGGGGACATTGTCAACAGGCTGGATAATATCATGTCAGGTAATGGGAACAAGCCCATTATCTGTCTCAGTGCTGGTGGAAATGATATTGGGAAGGGTAGGAGAGAAGAGCTGCTAGATAAGTACAGGTCAGCTATAGATTTCATTAAGTCTAAGGGAGGGATCCCAATCATATGTAGCATTTTGCCTAGAAGGGGAGTAGGAAATGAATGGTTGTCTAGGGCAATTGGTGTAAATTGCTGGCTAGACAGATACTGCAAGGAACTTGCAATCCCATTCATTGACAACTGGAACAACTTTTATGGCAAACATGATATGTATGCAAGGGATGGGGTACATCTCTCTGGGGCTGGGGTGGTAGCACTTGCAGACTCGATTGAGAAGGCCATTGGTGAAATGCCTATGATTTTAAACTGATGGAAGATAGAGGTATGGGTGTGTGTGGGAAACAAGCAGGTTGCAACACTTGGGTTGGAAACAGTAAATGTATAAAAGGCATTCAGCATGAAGTTATAAATAAAGACAATAGATAGGTCAGCAAACAAAGGGGGACAGCAGAGGGCAGAAGGACTAGCTCCCTTAAGGTTTACTATACTAATAGCAGGAGTTTTAAGAAATAAGATAGATGAGCTAAGATTAATTGCAAATGCAGGAAACTAGATATTATTGCTATAACAGAGACCTGGCTCAATCTGAAAGATAGAGGAGATGCCCTCTGAATGCCCACATACAAGGCTATAAATTATTCCACACTGACAGGGTCAACGGGAAAGGTGGTGGAGTAGCGATGTATGTCAGAGAAAATTTTTAAATTGTTGTGTTAGACAAGATTTTAAAATTAGAAGCGTCAGCCACTGAATTGTTTGGTTACGCTTCTCGAGGGCCGAGAAAAACTAATTTTGGGTGCGATTTACAGGGCCCCAAATCTTGATGGGGAGTGCAGTAAACTTCTATGGGACGAAATTCGTAAGGCATCTACATACGAAAATGTTGTGCTAATGGGAGGGCTTCAACTATAGACAGATTGACTGGAGCAATTTGACAGGAAAATTTTAGAGTCAGGTGACTTTCTTGATCGATCCAGGATTGTTTTTTAAAACAGTTTGTGACAGAGCCAACTAGGGGAAATAACCTCCTTGACTTGGTTCTTGCCAGTAGGGAAACACTAATTAATAATCTTGAGGTTAATGATGAGCTTGGGGAAAATGATCACAAATCACTCAGTTTTAAAATATCAGGAATTCCCCTAATAATTGGCAATCAAGTCTCCGTCCCTGACTTTCGCTTGGCTGATTTTATAGGACTGAAAAAAATTTCTTAGGTGGGCTGAACTGGAATGACCTGACTAAGGGTCAGGTAGGTGGTGATGGTTGCCGATATGATGCTTTCCAGGGCATAGTTCTAGCTGCTCAGTCAAATTATGTTCCAAATAGGAAATCAGATCAAACAAAAATGATCCTAAATGGATGAACAATAGATTAAAATATCTGATTGGTCAAAAGAGAGGCATATATAGGCAAATCAAAAGAGGAGAGGGGCAATTGAGAAATCGATATATTCAGTTAAAGAGAGAAATAAAAAAGGGATTAGAAAAGCAAAAAGAGATTATGAGGTTAAAGTTGCAGGAGAATCGAAGACTAACCCAAAAGGATTCTTTCAGGTATACAGAAGTAAGATCAGGGACAAGATTGGCCCACTCAAAAGTTCCTCGGGTCAGCTCACTGACAGTGATAAGGAAATGTGTAGAATTTTTAACACATACTTCCTCTCAGTTTTTACACAGGAGGATACCAGCGATATTCAGTAATGATAAATTATGTAGAACAGGACGATAATAAACTGTGCACTATTAGGGTCACAAGTGACATGGTCCTTAGGCAAATAGATAAATTAAAACCTAACAAATCCCCAGGCCCTGATGAACTGTATGCAAGGGTTCTAAAGGAATGTAAAGAGGAGCTTAGCACACCTTTGGCTAATCTTTTCAACATATCACTACAAACTGGCATGGTGCCAGATAAGTGGAAAATGGCAAATGTGATACCTATTTTCAAAACAGGTGACAGGTCCTTAGCTTCGAACTATAGACCAATAAGCCTAACCTCCATAGTGGGAAAATTTATGGAATCATATAATTGCCGAGGCAGTTCGTAGCCACCTTGAAAAGCATAAATTAATCAACGAATCTCAGCATGGTTTTTACAAAGGGGCATTCCTGCCTTACGAATTTATTAACTTTTTCACTAAGGTATTTGAGGAGGTAGATCATGGTAATGAATATGATATTGTGTATATGGACTTCAGTAAGGCTTTTGACAGGGTCCCACATCAGAGACTATTGAGGAAAATTAAAGCACATGGAATAGGAGAAATTTTTTCCTGGATGGAGGCATGGTTGACAAATAGGCAGCAGAGAGTTTGCATAAATGGGGAGAAATCAGAGTGGGGAAGTGTCACGAGTGGTGTTCCACAGGGGTCAGTGTTGGGCCCCCTGCTGTTCACAATCTACATAAACGACATAGATGAGGGCATAAAGAGCGACATCGGCAAGTTTGCCGATGACACCAAAATAGGCCGTCGAATTCATTCTGACGAGGACATTCGAGCACTCCAGGAAGATTTGAATAGACTGATGCAGTGGTCGGAGAAGTGGCAGATGCAGTTTAATATAGACAAATGCAAAGTTCTAAATGTTGGACAGGACAATAACCATGCCACATATAAACTAAATAATGTAGATCTTAATATTACGGATTGCGAAAAAGATTTAGGAGTTCTGGTTAGCAGTAATCTGAAACCAAGACAACAGTGCATAAGTGTTCGCAGTAAAGCTAATAGAATCCTTGGCTTCATATCAAGAAGCATAAATAATAGGAGTCCTCAGGTTGTTCTTCAACTCTATACATCCTTGGTTAGGCCTCATTTAGATTATGCTGCACAGTTTTGGTCACCGTATTACAGAATGGATATAAATTCTCTGGAAAATGTACAAAGGAGGATGACAAAGTTGATCCCATGTATCAGAAACCTTCCCTATGAGGATAGACTAAGGGCCCTGAAACTGCACTCTCTAGAAAGACGTAGAATTAGGGGGGATATGATTGAGGTGTATAAATGGAAGACAGGAATAAATAAAGGGGATGTAAATAGTGTGCTGAAAATATCTAGCCTAGACAGGACTCGCAGCAATGGTTTTAAGTTGGAAATATTCAGATTCAGGAAGGATATAGGAAAGTACTGTTTTGGTAATAGAGTTGTGGATGAGTGGAACAAACTCCCAAGTACCGTTATAGAGGCCAGAACGTTGTGTAGCTTTAAAAATAGGTTGGATAAATACATGAGTAGATGTGGGTGGGTGTGAGTTAGACATGATAGCTTGTGCTACCAGGTCGGTTGCCGTGTTCCTCCCTTAAGTCAATGTGACCTGACCTGACTAGGTTGGGTGCATTAGCTTAAGCCGGTAGGAGACTTGGACCTGCCTCGCATGGGCCAGTAGGCCTTCTGCAGTGTTCCTTCGTTCTTATGTTCTTATGTTCTTAACTCTCTCCAGGTAAACTCCATGTGCAACAAGTAGCGCCACCAAACAGTAGGGGTAGGTTAGTGTAGTGATCCCGAAAATTTGAAATTATTCTAGCTGAAATTAGTGTCTGATTACTGATGGAACTGGATTTATATAACATGAATCTGTTCAACCTTGAAGACTAGAGGGCACTATACAAACCATACCACGGGTGGTGGTAGAACCCGCGATCAGAGTTTTATGACTGATCGCGGATTCTAACCCCACCCGTGGTATGGTTTGTTTGCAATTGTCATTATGATTTCATGAGTCGTGTGGACACGATACCATAGCTGGAATAATTCACAGCTTATCCAGAGTTTCCCGAGGAAACTTTAGATGATGTTTTGGTCCATCCTGGACCATTACTTAGTAATGATAATGCTCAAGCACTGTCTAAAGCATTGTCTAGAGCTTCAGTAATGCCTTCAATAAAGTACCTCACAAAAGACTGTTAAGGAAAGTGTATCTCATGATTCAGAAGTTAGGATCTAACATGGATTGAAGCATAGTTGACCAATAGAAAGCAGAGAATCTGGAAACTTGTAATCTTCTTTAAATATGTTTTAATTAAAATTTTATTGGATTTCTATTTTTTGTTACTAAACGCCAGCTGCAGAAACTCCGAGAAAACATCTTGGTCACTATTTTAGACCATCCACATGGTCATTGTTTTATTTTTCTCATCATGCATCATATGGGGCAGGATTTTTTTTATACTGTGCACGTTCACTACACAGACCCATTCTCTCATACCTAGGTCAAAATTTACTGCTCGCAGCTTATCTGACCGAGCTGAGCTTAGGACAGAATTATATGAGACCCTGACCTCAATGACGTAGTTCTACATGACGGCCACTGAAAGGGTTGATAGTTTTTCTTTACATTTCCTTTGCTGATTTCAATCATCTGTTTAATTTGTGTACAGTGGAACCTCGGTTTTCGTGATTAATCCATTCGAAAAAGTCTGACGAAAACCTAATCGTATGAAAACGGAAGCAATATTTCTCATAAGAAATAATGAAAATCCAATTATGTAATCCGTTCCAGACACCCAAAAATACTAACAAAAAATACATTTTATAGAGAATTTTCTCCAACTAGGGTATGCAAAAACCGAGGTTCCACTGTACATAACATTGCAGTAAAAAATTATTTATTCTCTGCCTTGGTAGGAAATGTCTAATGTGAAAAAAAAAATTATAATTGGTTGGCTGCTGAAAAGATATTGAACAATGCAATAAAATGCAATAGAGTACAATACAATACAATGTATAGTAATTGCTTTTGTTTAATCTACAGAACATGCATTAGCAACAACTGTCTTCAAGAGGTGATGAGTTCCTTAGCTCAGAGTGGAGAAGGTTTTGTAGGTGGCATGCCAGGTGTGTCTCATCCAGATGGCACAGTGCCACTCTACCATGCTGCTCTTATCCTCATGGAAAAACTCTCACTCTTGGCTTGTGAGTACCATTAGTCTTGAATAACTAAAGTGCAATGAACACTTGTTAGTGCTCAGTAATAACCCACATGAAGACAGAAACACAGGAGGTTGATTGATTTGTACAGGAGGGCCCCTGCTTATACAGCAGGTTAGGTTCTGGGTCCTGCTTATACAGCAGGTTAGGTTCTGGGTCCTGCTTATACAGGAGGTTAGGTTCTGGGTCCTGCTTATACAGGTTAGGTTCTGGGTCCTGCTTTTACAGCAGGTTAGGTTACAGGTTCTGCTTATACAGCAGGTTAGGTTCTGGGTCCTGCTTATACAGCAGGTTAGGTTCTGGGTCCTGCTTTTACAGCAGGTTAGGTTCTGGGTCCTGCTTTTACAGCAGGTTAGGTTCTGGGTCCTGCTTTTACAGCAGGTTAGGTTCTGGGTCCTGCTTTTACAGCAGGTTAGGTTCTGGGTCCTGATTTTACAGCAGGTTAGATTACAGGTCCTGCTTGTACAGCAGGTTAGGTTACAGGTCCTGCTTGTACAGCAGGTTAGGTTCCAGGTCCTTCTTGTACAGCAGGTTAGGTTCTGGGCCCTGCTTGTACAGCAGGTTAGGTTCTGGGCCCTGCTTGTACAGCAGGTTAGGTTCTGGGTCCTGCTTGTACAGCAGGTTAGGGTCCGGGCCCTGCTTGTGCAGCAGGTTAGGTTCCGGGCCCTGCTTGTGCAGGGAGGTTAGGGTTTCCCGGGGCCCCGCTTGTACAGCAGGGTTTGGTTCCGGGCCCCGCTTGTACAGCAGGTTAGGTTCCAGGCCCCGCTTGTACAGCAGGTTAGGTTCCGGGCCCCGCTTGTACAGCAGGTTAGGTTCCGGGCCCCGCTTGTACAGCAGGTTAGGTTCCGGGCCCCGCTTGTACAGCAGGTTAGGTTCGGGCCCGCTTGTACAGCAGGTTAGGTTTTCCGGGCTCTGCTTGTACAGCAGGTTAGGTTCCGGGCCCTGCTTGTACAGCAGGTTAGGTTCCGGGCCCTGCTTGTACAGCAGGTTAGGTTCCGGGCTCTGCTTGTACAGCAGGTTAGGTTCCGGGCCCTGCTTGTACAGCAGGTTAGGTTCTGGGCCCTGCTTGTACAGCAGGTTAGGTTCTGGGCCCTGCTTGTACAGCAGGTTAGGTTCCGGGCCCTGCTTGTACAGCAGGTTAGGTTCCGGGCCCTGCTTGTACAGCAGGTTAGGTTCCGGGCCCTGCTTGTACAGCAGGTTAGGTTCCGGGCTACTGCTGTCAAGCGAAAAGTCGCTGGAAAGCAAATCATAGCCTTTTCTCAATTTCAAATAAATATAAAAGCCTGATAACATGTTTACACCATCATATTAAGTGAGCAATAGAGCTAGGTCTAAACAAAACATTAAAATAACATATTACTTCCAAAAAATATTTTCATGCTTACCTTTTCGAGGGTGAATATATTATTGTAAAGTCGAAAAAAATAAGAATTTTGTACACTGAAAACTACTGTATTAGTGAAAGCGTAGACGAAGTGCTGCAAGCAGGGCCTGCCTGTAGGGGCCCCCCGGTTTACGACACCTCAAAAGGCCCAATTATGTAAGTGATTTATGTAGGTGCGTTTGTACTGATGTTTGGAGGGCTGAAATGGCTAAACTAATTCACAATATTCCTTAGGGGGACAAATTTTTCAGTTTCTGGCACCTGAACATACTTCTGGAATGAAATAATGTCGTAAAAAACCGGGGGGGCCACGTATTTTTAAATTCAGATCAAACACCCTGTATTTTATGTCTTGGGTTATTGAGTACTATTAGCTAATTAAACTGCTTGCTTCAGAAGTGCTTTTTCAAATTTATCACCCCTTTCCCGCCATAAGAGTGGGTTTAAACGTTCAGATTTTTTTTTATTTTTTGGTGTGCAAATTAAGTACTTTACAGGAAATAAAACATTGTTAACAGAAAAAAACCATTTATCAATGCATTTTGGGGATATAAAAAGGTTTGGGGATCTAGGTGATTTGACACACAGGGAAAAGTTGGTTTTTTAGTTGAAATGTTTTACATTCTCAGCAGATTTCATCATTGAACATGAGGGGACTTAAAAATCTAAACCATGGAAAAGGTAAAATTGAGGTATCAGTCTCTCAGCCTTGAATGAATTGTAATTTTTGTGATGGTCAGTCCCATGGTCTTGGCAGGTGTTCAGCTTCACAGCTGTGTCTCGCTCGTCTACTTGTTGGCCTTTTTTTTTTTTTTACCATTAGTGTAATGTTGGTGATTAATGCATATACGTGTATAATGTTTTCTGTTAATGATTCCAGACATTATTATATGTTTGGCCAGGTACTCTTCCAGGGTTAGTGCCTTGATGCCACCAAAGAGTTCTTGATTCAACTCAAGAAATCATAATGACATGATTGCGAACAAACCATGGTATGGGCAGGGATTGGAGCTACAGTCCTCTTCCTTGTATCAAACCTAATTATTTTAGATTCCCCAGGAGCTGTATGACTCCTGTGAGTTCAGTGTTTCCCCATAAATGTAATAAAAATTATTTGTATTAAGCATGTTAATAATACGCACAGTTTTTGACATGTTATTAAGATTCATCAGTTGATGAGGTCGCTGGTAAACAATACAACTTTTCAATAATATGTCATAAATCGCATGTTGCATCTTATTAACATACTTGCTGGTATATAATACTATACCATTACCTTTGATATACCTATGACGAGTCCAAAGAGTTTTTCTACTCTCGGAGCCTGGCCCACGGCCAGGGTCATCTGGCGCTTGCCTGGTCATCCACCATTGATAAACATTCTGCTTTCTCCAACCTTCAGGTGAATACGCTCGCACATGTATTGGCGATTCGTGTGATGAGGTGACTGAGAACAATGAATCGTGTGATGTGTATGTTTGGGGCAGCAACTCGTCACACCAGCTGGCAGAGGGCACCCAAGACAAGATCCTTGCCCCAAAATTAACTCATGCCTTTAATAGCGTCCAACAGGTTTGAAACTTAATATTTGAAAGTATATATTTGTGATTAAATTTTTTTTAGTTAACGGAAGGTAGTCCAATGAAAGTACAGTGGTCCCTCGTTGTTTGTAATTAATCCGTTCCTGGAGCCGTTACTATAAATGAAATTTATGATTTACGAATCAATTTTCCCCATAAGAAATAATGTAAATACAATTAATCCGTTCCTGACACCCAGAAGTATTAAAACAAAAAAATTTTTAACATGAAATATACATGTAGTACATAAACAATAAAAGGGGAAATGATGAATGAAAATTAACAGATAAACTTACCTTTTTATTGGAGATTCTTCTTAGTGTATGGGAGATGGAGGAGGAGAGAGAGTGGTTGTTTTATTTTGGAAGGGGAATCCCTTCCTTTAACACCCGGGAAACTTTGCTTTTTGGGGTTGTTTTCTTTCTGTTTTTTCATGCCCTAGGACCCCCTTTGAGAGTCACTGGAGTCCGTCTCACAAAAAAAATTGTGGAGAGGCTCGTTTCGGTGTCTTTAAAACATTTCCCCAAAAATGGCCAAGATTTTGTCACTGCATGTTGCCACCTGGCTTGCAAAAACCCTTGTTAGGGTGTGTTTCTCCATAAAGCTTTCCATCTCCCCCACTGTAAAAATCCTTTAATTTCTGAAAAAGGCCCCTTTTTCCTCTCCTTCCTCTCCTTGCAGCAAGATCTGATTTGCGATGTGTTGCTCTTCCGCTGAAGCTTTTGCAGCTCCCAGGGGAGCTTTTCTTGTGGTTTCCACCTTCTTCCAAATCCCCCAAACTCCATCCAACCCATGAACTCCCCAGTCCACAATTGATTTTACAACAGACCAGGCCATTGGGTTTCAGCCCCAAACCTTCAAAATTCTTTTGCGACACAATCTGGCCACAATTTTCCCCAGGCAGATTTTAAAAGTCCTGGTGTCACTCCCTCCCAAGCCTCCCTAAAAGGGTTAGAGGGGGATGTAAAGGGGTTTTCTCTCCAAAATTCCCTTAGGGTCAAGTAGTTTTGTGGTCACAGTCAAGCCCCTGTAAAACATTGCTTTTGTTAGAGTTTTTTAAAGTTTGCAATAACCTGCTGGCCCATGGGTTGGGGGGAGAGGGGTGGTATCCGGGGGAAAGAATTTACGTGTGAACCCAAACTCCTAAAAAATTAGGTCACCCAAGTTTGGAGGATGGGGTGCATTGTCCATTACTAGCACGCCTTGAGATCAATTTTTTTTCCAGGAGACCTCCTTCACACTAGGGCCAAACATTTCATTAAACCCCACTCGCGAAAAGTTCCCTTGCCCCTTGCCTTACTATTGTTTTCCCAAAAACCACACAATTTACTTTCAAAACTTGTTTTTCCTAAAACATCGGGGGTTTTCAGAATGGCACCTGTAATGGTTCACTTTGAAATCCCCCTAGCATTAGCGCAGAACATTAGCGCAGCCTGTCTTTCATAGGTATGTCCTGGCATTGCCTTTTTCCCCTTGTTAATGAAGGTCCTCTTTGGGGATTTTCTTCCAAAAAGGCCTGTTTCATCACAAAATGAACATTGTTCAGGTTTTAGTCCTTCACTGTTTTTTTCTTCCCCGGAATTATGCACATATTTTTTAGCCGCCCTTTTTCCGAACTGGGCGGGGCCCCACCATGCCTTACCACAGTGCATGCCAGTAGGTTCTTAAATCTTCAAACCAGCCTTTGCTGGGCCCTTAAATCCACTACTTTACTATTTGCAGGCAATTTTTTTACCAAATTTTCATGCAACTGCCTACCTTTTTACAAAAAAAACGAAATCATAAGAGTTTCCCCGCTAATTTTTTCTTTTTTTATCCCCACCAATAATAAATTCTCAACCTCTTAGTACTGGGGATCTCATTTTTGTCACTAGTTTCTTTCCCCTTTTTTTTAAAAAAACATCCTTTATTTCATTTTCTTGGCCCCTATGGAAAATAAGGTTGTGTAGGGTTTCTTATACATCCTGGACAGTTCGGCCACACTTGTACCACTTTTATATTGTTAATGATTTTTTTTCTTAAATTTTTGTATTTTCCCTTCTTTACCAAAGGCTTGGACAGGAGCTTTCTTTGGAGCCTGGTAGCTTATTTATACTTTCAAACATAAAATAAAAGGATAATTTTTGAAATATTTTGCTGGGGCAGCCGGGGGGCCTTCGCTCACTGGAAACAATGCCAGACTGGCGCCCCCCTGGCCCCCCCCGTGGTACGGTCCCGGCGACTATGACTCGCGAGTCAAACCCATGAAAAACGAGTCGTCACGTGAGGGCACAGCCCTGAGTGCTTGGGGGTTAGCGCGAAGGTTACAAAGCATGGCTTGCTCTGCAGTGTTTTAAAAACTGAGGTTGGGGAGTTGAAGGAGGAGGTCTTGCTTTTCCAGGAGGAGATTTTGGAGGCGAAGGGCCACCCCAATGGGGGCCCGGGGGAGTGGAGGGGGTTGGGGAGTGGGGAAAGAGGCTTCTAGCAGTGAGGTGCGTTGTCTTCCTGTGAGGAGGCGTAGGTTTGGGGGGGTAGAAAGGCTACCAGCAGTGAGGTGCAGCCCAGACCTGCACAAGTGGGGTTGTTCACAGTAATGGGGGGGCGCATCGAGTAAGGAAGTTAAGAGTGAAAATCGAAGGTAGGAAAACGCTTCTCTTTCTCCCCGGATGAATGTACTTTAGTGGCCATGAAGGGAAGGGGACTACGCCCCTGCTAATGAAATTTAACACATTCTTGTGGGTTTGGGGATCTCATAAGATATGTTTACCGTGCTTTTGTAATAGGGTAAGAAAGAAGATAGAGTGTGCTTCCCCGGAGTGGTGTTGGGGGGAAATTTTCAACAGGCTATAATTCATGTCGGTAAAAGGGAACAAGCCCATTATCTGTCTCAGTGTGGGGGAAAGATATGGGAAAAGGGAGGAGAGAAGAGCTGCTAGATAAACAGGTCAGCTATAGATTTATTAAGTCTAAGGGGGATCCCAATCATATGTAGCATCTTGCCCAGAAGGGGGTAGGAAATGAAGGGTTTTTAGGGGAATTGGGGTAAATTGTGGCTAGACAGATATGCAAGGAACTTGATCCCCTTTATTACAACTGGAAAACTTTTTTTGGGAAACATGATAGTTTTCAAGGGATGGGGTACATCTCTCTGGGGCAGGGGTGGGAGCACTTGCAGACTCGATTGAGAAGGCCATTGGTGAAATGCCTATGATTTTAAACTGATGGAAGATAGAGGTATGGGTGTGTGTGGGAAACAAGCAGGTTGCAACACTAGGGTTGGAAACAGTAAATGTATAAAAGGCATTCAGCATAAAGTTATAAATAAAGACAATAGAACAGGTCAGCAAACAAAGGGGGACAGCAGAGGGCAGCAAGGGACTAGCTCCCTTAAGGTTTACTATACTAATAGCAGGAGTGTTAGAAATAAGATAGATGAGCTAAGATTAATTGCAAGTGCAGGAAACATAGATATTATTGCTATAACAGAGACCTGGCTCAATCTGAAAGATAGAGAGATGCCCTCTGAATGTCACATACAAGGCTATAAATTATTCCACACTGACAGGGTCAACAGGAAAGGTGGTGGAGTAGCGATGTATGTCAGAGACAATTTAAATTGTTGTGTTAGACAAGATATTAAATTAGAAGCGTCAGCCACTGAATCTGTTTGGTTACAGCTTCTCGAGGGCCGAGAAAAACTAATTTTGGGTGTGATTTACAGGGCCCCAAATCTTGATAGGGAGTGCAGTAAACTTCTATGGGACGAAATTCGTAAGGCATCTACATACGAAAATGTTGTGCTAATGGGAGATTTCAACTATAGACAGATTGACTGGAGCAATTTGACAGGAAATTTAGAGTCGGGTGACTTTCTTGATACGATCCAGGATTGTTTTTTAAAACAGTTTGTGACAGAGCCAACTAGGGAAATAACCTCCTTGACTTGGTTCTTGCCAGTAGGGAAACACTAATTAATAATCTTGAGGTTAATGATGAGCTTGGGAGAGTGATCACAAATCACTCAGTTTTAACATATCATGGAATTCCCCTAATAATGGCAATCAAGTCTCCGTCCCTGACTTTCGCTTGGCTGATTTCATAGGACTGAAAAATTACTTAGGTGGGCTGAACTGGAATGACCTGACTAGGGGTCAGGTAGGTGGTGATGGTTGCCGATATGATGCTTTCCAGGCATAGTTCTAGCTGCTCAGTCAAATTATTTTCCCAAAACAGGGAAATCAGATCAAACAAAAATGATCCTAAATGGATGAACAATAGATTAAAATATCTGATTGGTCAAAAGAGAGGCATATATAGGCAAATCAAAAGAGGAGAGGGGCAATTAAGAAATCGATATATTCAGTTAAGAGAGAAATAAAAAGGGAATTAGAAAAGCAAATAGAGATTATGAGGTTAAAGTTGCAAGAGAATCGAAAGACTAACCAAAAGGATTCTTTCAGGTTACAGAAGTAAGATCAGGGACAAGATAGGCCCACTCAAAAGTTCCTCGGGTCAGCTCACTGACAGTGATAAGGAAATGTGTAGAATTTTTAACACATACTTCTCTCAGTTTTTACACAGGAGGATACCAGCGATATTCCAGTAATGATAAATTATGTAGAACAGGACGATAATAAAACTGTGCACTATTAGGGTCACAAGTGACATGGTCCTTAGGCAAATAGATAAATTAAACCTAACAAATCCCAGGCCCTGATGAACTGTATGCAAGGGTTCTAAAGGAATGTAAAGAGAGCTTAGCACACCTTTGGCTAATCTTTTCAACATATCACTACAAACTGGCATGGTGCCAGTAAGTGGAAAATGGCAAATGTGATACCTATTTTCAAAACAGGTGACAGGTCCTTAGCTTCGAACTATAGACCAATAAGCCTAACCTCCATAGTGGGAAAATTTATGGAATCAATAATTGCCGAGGCAGTTCGTAGCCACCTTGAAAAAGCATAAATTAATCAACGAATCTCAGCATGGTTTACAAAGGGGCGTTCCTGC